CTTCTTCCCAGTCACTTTGCCCCTTTCCTAGCATATTTAGCATTCAATATCTCCTGTGCTGACCTTGTTCTTTGAATTGCATTGGCACTTGTCTTGTTCAAGACGCAGGTCAGCAGGAGAACAGTCAAGTGTGGAAAAACACACCGTCACTGTTCACTGGGGTCAGAGCAGCACAAGTGACCTAAATTTGAAATGCTCCATACTCCGTGGCTGATCCAGCATCCTCAGGCTGCAGCCTGCCTGTCTGCTGCAGTTGCAGACCAAGAAGTGATTTTTGTTCAGGAGCAAGATTTCCACCAATTTAATCTACTGAAATTTGAAGTCTGGAAATCTGGGGCAAAATGGAGGGGAAAAGAGAAAGCAAGAGAAAAAAAATGCAGAAAAAGACAAGTTGTAATTGAGAAGCTTGAGTGAAACACCACATTTTGGTCATACAGTGGGGTGTGTTTTGGCAGTTCAATTTGTTAATTTTCTAGAACAGGCATGAAATCGCTATATTTATGTACGTAGGAATTAATAATAGCTTACAAAAGCAACACATTAGCTTTTTTTGGGTGGGAGGAGAAACCAAGAGCTGCCTGAAGGCGAAACATTTCTAATTCCCTTTTTTAATTTCTTTTTGTTTTAATTTTTTTTTGAGAGAGCTCCTTTTTCATTGTGTGCACTGCTGTTGCCCACACTGGTGCTGGAGGAGAGCATGTGTGCAGTCTGCATAAATTGATTGGGAGGGTGGCTGACCGTGCTTGGTGCTTCCTTCAGGTCACGGCTGCCACGGTTTGCCACGCTCTTTTATGCGTGCATGAGCACGGGCAAACACATCCAAGATGTGGGAGTGCGAGTTTGAGGAGTGCTTGGCATCAGCCCCCGCACATGCCGGCTGCGATGCCTGCTCACAGAAAAACACAGAACAGAAAAAGCCAGGGAGGTTTTCCTCTGTGAGGTGAAGCTTGTGGGAGCACGCCTTGCATTGCTTTTGCTCTTAAAAGCACATGCATTTTTGTTGGTTTGCTTCTAGGCCACTAAATGCTCCTGACTTCTTTCCTAACCTCCAGTGATGGCACCAGTATCACAGGAAGGGAATCTTGTCGTTCCCTCTTGGACAAGGGACAAACCCTGGGTGAGTGGTGATGACCCAGGAGTACTTTCTACAATTAATGTGAAAAATCTGGGGGTTTTTGGTAGGGGTTTTGAACACAACAGGAGAGAGGGTTTGGGGTGGATCCCCTCCCAGCCCTTTTTTTTCCTTAATAATGAGAAGTTTCTGAGTGATTGTGCTGGTTGAACCATCTAGGGGAAAACAGCAGCCTTCCTGCAGGGGCTTGCAAGAATTTATACTGGGTTTCTGCTGACACCTATTTTTATATCAGAGATGGCAAAAACATACTGACATATCTAGTCTATCTGCTTGTGAATATATTTCATTTCCATATGCATCCAGCCTTGCAGTGTGTTTGATAAGTTGGGTTACTTGTTTTAGCTCATCTGTGCTTCTCCCTTCCCCTGGAGCTAATCCAGAAAATATCTTGAAAGAGAAGGTTGGGGGGGGGGGGGGGGGGGGGGGGGGGGGGGCAACCAAGAAGGAGATTGAATTTCCATCATGAGGAAAATATGAAGAGTTTTCACAAGATGTGATGACTACATTTGATATCTTGTAGTTTTTGTTAGTCTAGAAGTGATTTTTTTTTCTCCTCTCTCTTAATCTGAGTGATCTGGGGGAATGGTGATCATCTATTCTTCTTCTTCTTCAGTATTTTAATCTAGGCTGCCCAGGGCAGTGGTGGGATCACCATTCCTGGTAGTGTGGTCTGTAGATGTGGCACATGGAGATATGGCTTAGTGATAAAGATGATGGTGCTGGGTTAAAGGTTGGCTCAATGATCTTAAAGGCCTTTTCTAACCTTAATGATTCTATAATCCTAATTATCTCTTCAGGTTTCAAGCTTTCTCTTGCAACACTGGTATTAATGGTGACATTTGGCATTTCAGTTACTTGTTTTCTGCTGATGATGAATGGAAGTGTATAACTGAATTCAAGTGTGGGGAAAAAAAGCAGTTTTATTTATTAGTAGGGTAATGTAAAAAAATCATGATCTGGTATAGAAGTCTTCACTATCAGCATGATATGTATTTATCTTTTCAGTGCATGCATGGCATCACATGAAAAAGGTGTAACATTGATAGAATGTGCTTCACTGTGAGAATGCAGCACTTTCAGATTTATTTAGCAATTTTGTGTGGTTTTTACTCCAAGTTATTGTGCTTTTATGTATTTCAAGAGAAATGCACATATGTATTCATGTAGGTCTTACATATTTACTGACATAAATTTCTTAAGAAAGAGCAGTAGTTCACTTTGTGAACTGTGGAAATTAGGTAAATGTTCATACTTGTTAAATTTTACTTTTTGCTACTGAGAAGAAAACAAAAAAGATTTACCCAAAGATTGTGCCCAGAAATCAGAATACTCTGTGTTTGTACCGAAGTCCTAGAGCAATTACAAGAAACAAAGAGAATCTAAGAAGAAGGAATATGCAGTTCTTTATTTTAAATACTGCCCAAATTGGTGGTTTTGACAGATATTTCTTGTTGACTGTTGCCTCCCATACATTTTACCAGATAAAGCTTAAAAACCTGATTTTTTGATCTACCTACTCATTCCTGTTTTATCTTATCCTTTTGCTTTTATCCATGTATTTTAATCCAGAACTCATAATGAAATTCAAGCTTTCAAAGCAGTTCACAAAATCAGCAATTTAATGCATGTTTTGTCACTTTTACTTTCGTAACAGCTGTAAGATAAATAAAATAATGAGATATTTACAGCACAAGGTCAGGCAGTTTTTGTGATAGCAGCTTTTCATATAAGATTACAGCTAAAAAAGAGGGGAAGTGCTGAGTTACATAATTCACTAAAGTTTGACACTTAGAATTTGTGTTATAACAGCACTTCATAGGCTATAGATGGGGCTGTTTCAAGTTCTGTTGTAAATCTGACTTTACAAGGCTTTAATGTTCTGTAGGCTAATAAAAATCACTCTAGGATTGAATGTGTGAAATAAAAAAAAGTGGTGTTTTTAATATTTTTTAATGCTCTGGGTATTTTGTCATCTTTGATTGTTTTTCACCAAGATGGCATTGCTCTTGGATTTTTGAATAAATCTTAAAGCTTACCTTCATGTCTGAGGGAGGAGAGGCAAGAAAGAAAAGGAAAAAAAAAAAAAAAAGCATCCCAAAAATAGAAGTCTTGCATTTGCACAGTAAAGTTTAAGGTATCAATGTGAGCTTTTGGCACTGGAGAAAAGGGCATAAATATTGAGTATGAAATATAGTGTAATAATAAGTGATAGCATTTTCACATTGTTGAAATATAAGCCTTCCAGGACAGAGGATAAGCTGTAAGCCCCAGAAAGTCAGCTTTTCTGGAAGACTACCCTTGTGCACTGCACATCTCTCCTCGTTTGAAACCTCTGGGGTGCTAAGAAGGACAGGAAATTGTCTGACCTGAAATTCTGAGGGTTTATGTAGCTTTTGCATGGTATTGTTTGAAGGATTCACCTGCTTGGCAAATACTATGAAAATGCCAACAGTTAGGAATCGTGGTTACAAATATCCATCTCGATTCCACATGAGCAGCAGTGGCTCACAGGAGGAGCTAGCCCTCAGCCAAACGTGCTGCACTTTGCCATTTAGGCAATCTTGGTGCAAGGCGGTGCAGGGCTGCCATAACAACCTGCCCCAGAAACCTCGTTCCCTTCCCCTGGTGGTAGTGATGTGAGAACAGTGAAAACTTTAGGTCAGGAATACTGTGTTAACATTTCCCTCAATCCCAGTGCTACTTTGTCATTTATGCCAGTTGTATTCAGTACTGGGGTTGTTTCTGGCTGCCTTGTCTAATCTGGAAGGAGAGGACTGTCACATGCAAGGGTGACACCAGCCCAACCATGACCTGCAAGGCTTTCAATGGCCTCATCTGGGGAAAGGAAATCCATGCAAGAGCATAAACCTAAGACCAGGAGGGGCCTGGGAGCAAACACCTACAAATTTCTCACATCCCCACTCCTTTCCCTGTGTCAGTGGGCTTCAAGTCATTGGTTTCCTGTATTGGTTTTCCATTGGTATGGTAAGCTTTCGTCAGTGTTTGGTGACAGTAGCGTGCTACCCTTCTTCACCACATTGTGGTGTCCCAAGTATCTCTGGCATTGCTGTTACAGCTGTTTCCAGCTGTTCCAGTGGTTTCCATGCACAGGGCATTTTGTTGCTGTTGGGTGAAGGGGAGAGAACTGGGGAGCTGTTGACTCCACATAAACTGTGCTGCGGAGACCCAAGGGAGCCCCAGGAGTCACAAAACCTGTGGCACACACAGTGTATGCTTTGGGCAAGGGCACACTGTTGATTTGTCTGTAATTCAGCCACTGGGAGGGACCCTGTGGGCTGGGGTGGGCTCTTTTGGGCTGGCAGGGATAACCAGGCTTGCATTGCACAGGTGCACAAGAGACCTGTCAGGGATAAAAGGGGAAATCAGTGTAGGATAAAAGCAGCTCCAAAAGATAATGTGTCCTGTCACCTTGGTCCCTGGCAAGGTGGCCAGCTGCCAGCTCCTCCCAGACAGCTTCAACGTGAGCTTAAATGAAGTTTAAGACTGCTGGCTGTTTATCTAATATTGTTCATTGTTCTGTACAGACAATTGCAGAAATTAAGGATTCATATATGGGGGCAAAAAAATTTGTTTCTTCAGATTTTTATGTATTGCCTTCATTTTGCATATGTAAGAAGCTATGGTCCACAGCTTTCCTCACAGTTAGGCAAGAAAGTAGCTTTTCTTTACGTTAGACACTGTTGCTTCAGGATAGAGAGGGAGAAATTGAAAATTTAGGGGAGTTGTGAGGTGAAAAAACAAAGGCTTTTCATTAGTATTTTTCCTATAGCTAGATTTTCACTTGAGCACTTTTGTATGCTGTATTAATTACTCGTGTTTTCTAACTTGGGCTTAAAACTTCCAGGCAGCTGGGGACTTCCTTTCCCTCGTTCTGGTCCACAAGGAATTACTGGACAGGGAGAGAGAGAAGTTCCTGCAAGAAGTAAGGCAAGGACAGGAGCTTCAGGTGAGCACATCAGAACTCTTCCTGGAGAAAGAGAATTGAGGATCTTTGGTGGTATGAATGCTTTATTTGCCTCAATTTGCATCCTTTGAATTCATATCGTACTGAAGTCATGCTCTATCATGACAGTTGTTCAAGTGCCCAATATTTTGAGCACACACAATAGCAAAATAATTTTGAAATGACGATACCTGGTTGGAGTATATCTGGTTGTGTGTTAGAACTGTTAGACATAGGAGGTTTTGTTTTAGGAAGTTGAAAATAATGTGTCTGCAGGTAGCTGTGCAGCTTTGGTGTGAGGGGGACTGTGCTGGATGGTTTCAGAGGTGTAAAACAAAAAAAAAGTGCACTCATTTTATCCCTTGGTGCCTCCTGTAGTTTCATTTCAAAGTACGGAATCTCTTACTTCATGCAGTTTCTATTCCTGGTGAGGGTTTAGTTAAGGGACAGAAGCACAGACAAGTCTGAGCACAGATCAGTTGTTTGCTTTGCTTTTATGTGCTTTGGTGTCAGCAGGGCATGGTGAATTGGCAGCACAGCCTGTGACAAGAGTGAATGTCTGGGCCTTAGACTGTCCCTGTGCACCTTGAAATCTTCTGGGTATCTCCTGCTCTGAATGAGGTTGAACATAACATGAGGGGTGCGTTCTTACAGATGGTGAGAAAGCATCTGAGCAGTTATTCTTCTTCAGAGGTGCTGATTTGAAGGGAAAGGAGGGGGGCAGAAGCTGCTTTGTGTTGGCATTGTGGTGCAAGTGGCTGCTTGTGGGTACCACCTCTGCTGGTGTTGTGGAGGTCGCGGGACAGATAAAGCCAGGTTTAGACATGCACATTTTTTAATTACATAACCCTTTGGGGGTGGCTTTGTATACTCACCTACTACCAGATAGAAAATAGGAGCAGTCTTACCAAGCCTTTCGCCACATGTTTGTTGAGGTTGTGGAAGCACACAGTGAGGGTTCTTTTGCATTATGTAGAAAGTGAGTTCTTCCTTGGAGATCTGCTTATTTTTACTTTCGAGTGTGTGTAGATTTAACTGAAGAACATGTATTCACACAGTTGTGCTATTTAAGTTAATGTGGGGTGACTCAGTGTGTATTCACTGCTGCGAGCCCACAGCGACTGCGACAGAACATTTTATTGTCTGAAGACAATGCTAATAATGATAGCATTAAAACAGTGTTGGAATTTCACAAGACAATATTCTGTTCCCAGAACTGCCGAGGCACAAAGATTTGCCATTGTCAGACAGGGGAACAGGAGCTGGCCTGCAGTGCAAACAGTGCCCTCCGCTTCCGCTGGGCTGGGCTGGGTGTCCTGCCCCTCTCTGCTCCTGCTTCCAGGAACCTGCTCCAGAGTCTGACACAGCTGCGAGCACCTCTGCAAAGCAAGCACTGCAGCAGTTGGCTCTGCTGAGAGCTGTTGTAACACAGCCCCTTCCCAGGATGATCCTACTCTAAGCTGCTTTCATCCAACAGGTGAGCTATCTTGGCCAGCTGAAAGGGATGGAAAGGGCTGGCACTTCTTTGGCTGCCCCCCACCTATCTCTGCTCTGGTGCTTGGTCCCAGAAGTTTGCTGAAGGAGAATTTGGGATAGGTGTAGTGTTTTGCAGTTAATACATTGTGGCTGCTATGGCATTCCCATAACTCACAAAGCAGTGATACAGAAGTGATGGAGTTTATATTGGTTGTGCATTTCTTTGGTGGAGGGATTGTGGGATGAAACCAATGTGACTGTGGTGACAAACAGGGCAGCTGTACAGGTACAAAGCTGTACTTTGTATCTGAGGTATAGGTTATAAGTGCAAATAAGTTGTTCATTATGAAATTAATAAACATTACATGTATATTACTAATCCTTAGCACCACCTCTTATTGTGTAAAAACAATAATAGTTTCCTTATCAACAGAGTTGTTAATAATGCTTGGATCCTGGAAAGCAAAGATGCAGAAGTGGGAGCTGTATGCATTTATTCTTTCATAGGAATTATTTAAAGTAAAACTTTTCTACCCTCATAAGTACTGCTTTGCAGCAGGTTCCTGGTTTGCTGGTGTAATAGTCAGATTGGATAATGACAGCATAGACAATAAGATGAGAAAATGAACTGAAGAAGAGACTGTTGGCAGTGCAGAGACACTGGCTGGAAACCTCACCAACCATAAACCACATTTGTAGTATCATGGCTTACATCCAGTGTGGACAGCACCTGCAGTGCAAAGCCACCTGGAGGCTCACTGGTGGTGAGCACAAAGTTTGCTCTCTGCATTAGATACTAGCAGATAAGATATCTTGAATCCAGGCTCTGGATTCACTCTGAACATCCTTAAGATGGGAATGCACTGAGTACTTGCTTTTTTAATGACTCCCAGCAGCATTTCCCGGGATCCATGTGACAAAGTACCAGAGGGTTGGGCTTTGATTGCAGTATCTTCATTATGGAGTTGTGCTTATCTCTTAAAATGGATCCTTTCAAAATGTAGTTTGTGTTTGGTGGGGATAGTGAAGAAAAAGAGCTGATTTAAGGAAAATTGAATGGGGGAAGTGTCACATGTTTTGCAGTGTTGAGATTCCAGACATCCTTGCTGTGAAAAATGAGAGTTTAATTACCCAGGTTTTGTGTGGGTTTGCTGAGTTGCTTTAGTTTGTTTGTCCTCTGTCAGTCTCTACTAATGCTATTATTTACTTTCACTAAACAGAAAAAATTAATTCAGTGATCTCTGTTGCTCAGTGTCTGCTGGGAATAATGGTACTGAGTTGTATCACTGCAAATATTGGTATGTTCTTGCTTGTACTGTTGGCAGAAACACTGGGGAGAGTCAAACAGCCTAACTCAATATTGCTTACATATCTTCTATTTTCTTTTGACAAAGTCATTGCATGGTTCTGCCTCAACGTGGTCTTCTGTGAGCTGCAAGGAGCAGATCACGTCATTGTTGAACTGGCTAGCTCAGTCTGTGTGATATGTGCCACAGAACTTTATGGAGTACTTCCGGCAGTTTCCCTGCCTAATACATGTTTTGGAGCATCAGAACATCTTTGATTAGACAGTTTCTAAATAGCAGCATTTGTTATACCTGTCACTTGATTTTTGTCCCAGTATATCATGTGTGTCCCTGTGTATCCCTGCATATCTGTATCACCAATACAGGGAATTTGGGGCATGTTTTCAGCATGGCAGCCAGGCTTGCACAAAATGGCACAGCCCATCAGCCCTCTGTTTAGCCTCTACTCACAGTTAAACACTGGCATTAGCAGCTTTTTATTCTTCTCACCCCCTTTCCTGAGCTGATTCCTTAATGCCGTACACAAAGCAGTCCTGCACAGCGCTGCCATTAAGTCGCTGCCTTGCTGAATAAATTACAGGTGCCTGCTGCTAAAAAGGAAGAGATGATGCTTTTCTTTCTCTACATGGTTCTTGTTCTCTTCCTCATGTTTTGCTGATTTTCTCAAGACATCCTGTTTTGTTTGCTGTTGGCAAGTAAATCACTGAGAGATGCAAAAAGCAAGAGCAGAGGAAATTCCCAGTGCATACTGAGAAGCAAATATTCCAGTCTTTCAAGCATGGATAAATGGAAAGAGGTGGATATAGATGGTGATGAATTTAAACATGTACTTATTTATTACTCTGTCTTCCATGTCTGGATCTCTGGCTGCTGAGGAGAGGATGAGACAAAGAAACACTTGATTTTTGGCACCACTGAAATGAAGTGGCAAGATGAGATCAGAGAATTGTATAGGTTGGATAGGACTTGCAGAGGTCACCTAGTCCATCCTGCTGACCAACCTGAATCCCATCTGACCAGGTTGCTCAAGGCCATGCACAGGACACTTTTCAGTATCTCCAAGGATGAAAGTCAAGCAGACTCTCTGGACTTCTGTATCAGTGTTTCACTTAAAAATAAAATAAATAAAATAAAGTAAATAGTTTTCTCCCCTGTATAAGGCTGTAATATCCCATGTTGCAGCACTGGTTGATGCTCCCCTTGCTCCCTGTGTACCTTTGAGGACAGTCTGTGTCCCCTCCCATCAGGCAGTAGCAGGTAGTGGGTAGGTCTCCCTGTAGCCCTCTCTTCTCATGACTGAGCAAACACAGTGCACTCACCCTCTCCTCCTGTGCTCCAGCTCCTCAACTGGCTCTGGAATGGAGCCTGTGCTGCTCCTGACAGCATGTCTACAGGAAAAACTCTTTTCTGTGCTGCATCCCATAAGTACCCTGAGACTGGTTTCTCTTTTCATGTCATCTGATCTTAATTTCTTTCCTTTTTCAACCTTTTTGCATGACATCTCCAAAACAGTAGCATTTTTGAGCTATAGCTTTCATTATAGTGTGGTATGATGTCACCAAACTCTATGTATGATAGTAGAAAAGAAAAATGCTACTGTTAAGTCTTAACTCAGCTGCTTTTATCTCTCATCATGTTCATTTTCACAACTATACCCATCCAGCAAGACTTGATCCTGACTTTTTTTCTTGAAGGACATAAAATATGTTTTCCAGTGTGAAATTAAATATTCTGCAGTCAAATGCAAACATCCAACCTAAAAAGACAGATGCTACTCCAGGTCCAGTATCTATGTGTAAGTCATGTTATGTTAGCAAATGAAGTGGAAAAATGGCTCTTAAATAGTTTCTTCTGCTGCTTCCCTATTTTTTTTTATATTAGGTTGCCCCTGGTATTTCAAGAGTTTCTATCCAGGTATTGTATACTCTCACATCAAATCCAAATACAGTTTAGCAGGGCAAAGAACATTTGGAGACTGGCTCAGTGCCCAGAGCCTGCTTTTAACCTCTGCAAAAGCCCTTGTCTTTCTCACTGAGATATCCAACATTTCCTAGCTACAGGAGAAAAAAGAAAATTTCAAGATAGAATTTCTGAATCTTAGTGATTTGGGTGTAACAAATACTGGCCCAAAGATGATCAGATTGTAAAGATCCTAAGAAGCAGGATCAGGCATGCTTAAACACCCGGGTTAATGAGCAGAGAGCTATGGCACTTGATGAA